CCTTGGCTCCTTCTTGCTGCTGTCTTTCAGCCACACCCCTGATGCTAGGACAGATCTGACAACTGCCTTCTTGGATAAGGGCGAAAATCTGGGAGGCCCGTGTGCAAGTTGCGCATTTTAAAGATCCATTGATGGTTCTAAAATCGACAAGAGCAGGCTCCGGCCGCCACCCGGGCAAAAATCCAAAACTTTTCTACTACACTGAAAATGTTTAATGTGTCCCGAGCGCTCATATGACCTTGTACAGTTGCGAGCGCCGTAAAACACGTACCAAATCAAAACAAAACATAAAATTATTTGATGTGTCATCGGAAAGATTTCGCTTTGTTCCTGAAGTAACTGTAGCGCTTACTTCTGTCTGCTGTTGCACGTTTCTGTCTTAGCTTTCTTCTTTCGGAACCCCCCCCCCACCAAACAAGCTAAACAAACAAGCTAAACAAACAAGCTAAACAAACAAACAAACGAACAAACACAAACTCAAACACAAACCCCCCCCCCCAACTTTTTCACTGTTCACACTTGTTCCTATCGTGATAGCGTTCAGTCTTCTTTTTTCGGGTTTCGAGCACTCTCACGCTTAAATGACCAAAATTGTGTCGATAGTGCCGTAAAACATCTACCCAATCAATCTAAAAAGCACTCTCCCCTATGCCCGTTTCTGTCTATCACAATGCCTCTTGCTCATTCGGTCACTTTTAAGCACAAGGGGGCTATCCCGAAAAATGCTGTTTTGAGAAAATCGAGAGTAAAGTTTTTGCCCCTTGTTCAGTTTCTTTAAAAGACAAGGAGAGTTTTCTCTATAACCAAACAAATATACACACAAATGAAACCAAACTTCTCCTATAGGTAGGGCTAGGCCCACTTTTGGTGTAGGTCAAAATTTCTGGAAACCCAACAAATCTGGGTTAGCCCGCTTGTCCTTTAAAGCGACCATTTACAGGCACAGATACTAATCCGAACACAAAAACGCATTCGAGAAAAAAAAGTAAGCAAACCCCTCGCCCCCCAAAAAACAACAACAAAACAACAACAACAACAACAACAACAATTACAACAACAGCAACAACCACAACAAAGAAAATGTACGACAAACACACCCAGCTAATAAGCTACGGCTCTGCATAATTCGGTAAGTCGTTTTTCCCAAACCCTGCTTCCCTCATCTGCAGGAAGGCGCCGTTTCCACCCGTGGAAAAATGGGATGTGGCGTGGTAGGTGGAGTCAGGCTCTCGTCAATGTTTGAGCATGTAGAGTTATTGGCATCATCTTATAGCTTGTTCATTTGTCTTTATTTGGATTTTAAAAAAATCCATTTACGTTGAATACAAGTCGAGATATTTGCGAAAGAAGGAGGTGGGGGGTCACCTGTTTTCAGAGGTAAAATAAGTGAGAAAATGGCCGCCAAACATTAGTTATTTCCTTAGCTTAAGAGTCCATGGTAACTGAAAATTTACATTCTTTGTGCCTTTAATCAACGTTTTCCAGAAAAATCCACACAGAAATGAGTTCTTTAATGGGCATGAAAGGTGTTGGGAAAAAAAAAAAATTGGATAAAAATGCGCAAACCTGCCGGAAAATGCAAGTTTCTTCACTTTGATTATTTTGACGAGAGCCTGATTCCACCACGCCGCCTCACAAATGTTTTGTGTATTCACCAGGCTGGCTGGAACAGACGCAACGATTCATTCACAGCTCGCACACTGCTGTAGACTGATGCGTCTAAAGGACCGATTAGTGCCAACACTTTTTTTTCCGTCACTGGTCTTTTCACCGGAGATTTCTTTGCCACAGACTGGGAATGGCGTGTTTACGTTGTATTATGGTCTCACTTTGATGTCTGCCCACACACATTTTGCTCTTTCTCTCTCTACTCTTTCTCACTCTTTCTCTGTCTGTTTGCCTTTCTCGCTCTCTCTGTTTCTTTCTGTATGGATTTCTTTCTCTCTCTTTCTTTCTCTCTCTCTCTCTCTCTCGCTCTTTCTCTCTCTCGCTCTCTCTTTCTCTCACTCTCTCTCTCTCTCTCTTTCTCGCTCTTTCTCTCACTCTCTCTCTCTCTCTCTCCTTCCCTCCAACTTTCTCTATCCCCCTCTCTCTTTCTCTCTCCATTCCCTCCCTGTATGTATTTCTCTCTCTCTTTCTTTCTTTCTCTCTCTTTATTTCTCTCTCTCTCTCTT